CGTCGGAAGCGGAACCGCGCGCGCACGTCCTCTCTGCTCCAGGTGCAAAACGCACGCCCGTCTGAATATCAAGGTGCGCCAGCATTGAACGCTTATCTGGCCATCGCTCGGACGTCCAGTCCCTGCGTTTTTCTCGGTTTCGTGCGTGGGTTTTTCGCCAAATGATCAAGGATGCTCCTCGATGGTCCCCGCCGAAGAAACAATGCACACGTCCGAGCGATGCCAAGTTATGTTTTGGGAGGGAAGTGGGGGTTTGGCGGGGCCCGCTGGCTCGATGCGCCTGGCCGCCTTGATCAGCACCCTGCTCTTCGACCCCATCCTCCTCCTCTGTCCCCTCCTCTTCGTCCTCCTCCTCAGCATGATCATCTGTGGTTCTCGTTCTGCTTCACCTCCTTCTCCTGCTGCTGCTGCTGCTCCTCCTCCTGACCGCATTGGCCGAAGACGCCCGCGAGGTGGTGGGTCAACCACCCTGGCCAATGCCACTGCCTGGCGATGCACAGCATGAGTCGAACCTCCTAATTTCAATGATGTGTATTCCATGCGCATCCCAGTGTTGAGCTCCATTCAGCTGAAGAGGTCGCCATCCCCAGCGACCGAATGCAGTTGCAGAGGGGATTTGAGCCTGTGCTGTTGTACATCGTGTGGGTGCTATGGGCACATCCATCTCCCGATATTAGGCCGCGTTTGTCAGCACAGGCCTACCCCCGATCGGGATGAGTATCTGAGCATCTTGATCGTACATCTCGTGCGCTCTGGCCAGAAAAAGTCCTGGGCAACGCAGGGCAAACATTCCCGAAGCGTGCATCAGGAATTTCAAATCTAATTTCATCCATCAGTGTCTGACTTTATCACATGGTCACACTCATTTTGTTCCTCCTCCTTCCCTTTTCCCTGTCGCTCCTTACGTAGGAAGAGATATTCTCCTCTTGAAGCGCCAACGGTGACACACGGTTGGTGAGAGAACATCGGCGCCGACAAACGCACAACGTCTGCGCAACATGCTTGCAGCAACCGGGGGTGAGGAAACATGTGTTCATGCAGGGTGCGAACCGCGTGCGGGGAGGATTGGTGGGGCACGTGGAACAACGTGCGGCCTGTCCGTGACACTTCGTAACCAAGCCCGCTGCCCCCCGTATAATCTTAACAACGGCGGGCTTGGATGCCGCGGATCCGATTTCCGTCCACCAGCTGGACTTGTGTAATGTCGTACATCTAAAATGACGTCAAATCGGGACGGTGCGAAACCATAAGGACGGAAATCTGATCCACATCCGGGATCGGATCCGCGCGGGGAAACATCCGATGCACCGCAACACCATTCCAAAACCAAACTCGGATCCACGCCAACTTATCCGCCAATATTTGTGTCATGTTCGCTGGCGAAAGATCTGAAGGCATCATGTCCAGGCACAGTGAGAACAAACTTCCGTCCTGCGGATGGGCGTTTTGGCTTTCGGACTCGCTTGATGTCACAGACCCGACATACCAAATCTGACATTCATTACCCGCGACGCACATTCAAGAGTTCTCGCTCGAGACGTCCTCGCACAACTCCGCGCCGCGGATGTGGAGTCGTGGTGGGCCACGACGGGGCCCGCCAACCAAGGGAAAACCCTCTCCTCGTCTAGCGTTGCACTCGGCGCCAGATCGTGCTGCAGCACTCCGGCGCCCACTGCGTAGCGGAAGTCCTGGGGTGTGGAGGAGGTGGGGCTCTCGCTCGAGATGTCCTTGCAGCAAAAGCAATTCATTTCCTTGCACACGCAGGTCGAAAGCGCACTGACTCAGGACGAGAGCTTTTCATCTTGAGGAACCATTGGCGACAAGCGGTTGGCGAGAGAGCATCGGCGTCGCCAGACGCACAACGCCTGGGCAACATGCTTGCAGCAACGGGGGGTGAGAAAGGATGTGTTCATGTAGGGTGCGAGCCGCGTGCGGGGAGGGTTGGTGGGGCCCGTGGACTAACGTGAGGCCTGTCCGTGACATTTCGTGACAATACCCCCTCCCCCCGCACAATCTTACCAGCGGCGAGCGTGGATGCCACGGATCCGATTTCGGTCCGTCAGCTGATTGAATTTTACATCAGACATTTCCAAACAACCCATGCATCGGACCCGTGTGGAAAAAAAACGGGAGACACATCCACAACATCCTGAATCGGATCAGCGCGAAAGGAAATTTGATCCACCACAACACGATTCCAAAATCTCATTCGGATCCACACCACTTGAATTTGATCCGCCGATCTAAATATATGTCATTTTCACTGGCGCAAGATCTGGAGGCATCATGTCGGGGCCAGGAGGAGAACACTTTCGTCCATGTAGCTCTCCCCTGTCGCATCCCCAGACGTATCGGTAGGGCGGGCTGGGCGTTTCGCCTGAGACTTCCTCGCCACGAGTGGTCCTGAATCTTGAAATGTTCAGCAATTTCACGGATGGAAGGCGGGCCGTTTTCAAAATGTGGCTCTCGTGTGGGTACCGCGCACATTCGTTTTACACGATTGCAATAGTTTTGCCCACGGACGGCGGGTCGTTTTCACCATGTAGATCTCGCCTGGGCGCCGTGCGCATTTGTCTCAATAGCCTCTGAGGTGGGCTTGCAGCAATTTCACTGATGGAGGGCGTGCCGTTTTCAGAATGTGGCTTGCACCTTGGCGCCGCGCACTTTCCTGGTTAATAGCAACATGCAACAATTTCTCAAACATGGGGCAACTCCTTTTCAAAATGTGGCTCCCGCTTTTGCGCCGAGCGCATTCGTTTCAGAAGCTTGCATCAAATTTACGGAGGGTGGGCGGCCCGTTTTCAACATGTGGCTTTCGCGTTGGCGCCTCGCACATTCGTCTGAAACGTTTGCAGCAGTTTCACGGATGGAGGGTGGAACGTTTTCAAAATGTGGCCACGCCTTAGCGCCGAACGCATTCGTTTTAACAACCTGCAATAACTTCTTGGATGGAGGGCGGGCTGTTTTCAACATGTGGCTTTCGCCTTGGTTCCGCGCGCGTTCGTCTTAACAGTTTGCAGCAACTTCACGGATGGAGGGTGGTCCTTTTCAAAATGTGGCTCTCGCCTTCGTGCAGCGCGCACTCGTCTTAACAATCTACAACCGTTTCAAGGTCGTATGGTCAAAGTGCCAGTACTTGTTTTCTGACGCATTTTAGAATTATCAGGACGCAGCAGTCGCACTGATTCACGGGTTTGAAGTCCTAGGAAAGGTGTTCGGGAGCGTTGTGGAATGTCAAGACGCAACAGTGAAGTCGATCCACGGCGTTGAAAATATTCTCAAACGATTGTCTTCAAATATGTCATGTCCCGCAATGGAAACTACCTCTTTCAGGGGCCTATGAAGAGAGAGAGAGAGAGAGAGAGAGCTTAGAGAGATGGTTTATTGCAACAGAGTTGATGCATCGTCGGGTTGGTTTAAGCCGGGTTTGTCATGGTCCTCCTTCCCTTCCTCCTTCTCCTCCTCCTCCTCCTCCTCCTCCTCCTCCTCCTCCTCCTCCTCTTCCTGGGGCCAACTAGAGCCCAAACGCCGGTGGGACAGGCATTCTGAACCCAAAAGAGGCGCTGGTGCCTGATCGAATGAAGGAGGGAGATCAAGAGGCGAAAGCGGCCCGCGCTGCAGCAGCCGCAGGGAGAAAGGAAGGAATCGCATGGATACCACGGGTTCGTGTCGTGTCGGCCCCAGCGTTGGCTCCCGACATCGCGGGGATCGTTCCGCCTGCAACGTTCGGCTGCTCCCCAAACGACAGATCGTGCAACATCGGCCGACTCTGGGCCGCCGGTGGACACGACGCGAACCTACCGCATGCCAGCCAACGCTCCGTCTGCAAGCGGGTAGGCGTCACCACCCCCTTAGGCCCATCCCCCCTGTCAGGTTCCTTCTGGGATCTTCCTCTGGCTAGGATTCCCGCTCCAGGACTCCAGGTTCAGCGTACGAGTGAAACATCGCGTTCGGCGAGCTCCCTCTCCTCTTTCCTCGGCGAGGACCATCATAGGCCTCAGCCACTCCAGTAGGGACCATCATAGGCCCCACCCTCTTGGCATCTCCCATCATAAGGCCTGCTGGGGGTCTCGCCAGCACTTTCACGTTTCTTTCATCACGGCGTCATTTGCCAATGGAGGGGGCCGACGACTCCTTCCTGGACCCTCGGCCAACGAAAACGTTTATAAAGGAGGGTACGACCATACCGTTTTTTCATGTATACCGTACGCCGGTATCAACAATTCCTCATATTCCTCTCCTCCCCCTCATGTCCACCGGCATCGTCCTCCTTGTCCTCGTTCTCATCCACTTCTTAATCGTCCCCACCGTTGCCGCCGCTCACCTCCCCCTCTCCCCCTCCCCCCCCCCCTGCTCCCTCCCCCTCCTCCCTCCCTCCCCCCTCTCGGCCAGTCGCGGGGATGGCGCCCCCACTGGCTCTCTGGGGGCTGCCCAGAGGGGACTGTCCACGGTCCAGTGCGCCCTGGGCCAGCCTCGTCTTGAGGCAGGCCCCGGGGTTGCGACGCGGGCCGCAGGCTGGCCACGCCTTCTGTGCCGGCCAGCTGGCGCGCAAGGGAAGGGGCAGGGGAGGGGGGGGGAAGAAAGGGAGGGGCGGAAGAAGGTGGAGGCGAGACGCAAGGCGCGTGCGGCAGCAAGGGCGGCCCAGCAGGGGCAGGGAGAGGAGAGGAGAGGGGCGGCCGGGGGCGACGGGCGGTCGGGTGGGCGGTGATAGCGGCAGCGGTGGTGGTCATGGTGCCTCCCTCCCTCCCTCTCCTCCTCCTCCTCCTCCTCCTCCTCCTCCTGCTTCTCCTTCTCCTCCCTCTCCTCCCCCTCCCCTCCTCCTTCTCCTCCTCCTTCTCCTCCTCCTCCTCCCTCTCCTCCCTCTCCCTCCCTCCCTCTCCTCCTCCCCTCCGTCTGCTCCCCTCCGTCTCCTCCCCCTCCCCTCCTCCTCCTCGTCCTCCTCCTCCTCCTCCTCCTCCTCCTGCTTCTCCTCCTGCTTCTGCTCCTACTGCCGCGGGGGCCTGGGCGTAGGGCCGCAGGCAGCCGCCCTCGTCCAGGAAGCGGCCGCCTGGCGCCACGGGGCGCGCTCTCCGCGGGCGACGGGCTGTGCCCCCCCGGGGGCCCCTTTGTCCGCTGAACCTGGGATCATGGGAGGGCTAATCACCGGATTGCTCTGGGCATGTGCGAGCCCCGCTCCCAAAAAACTCCCACTGGCCGCCCGAACTCGGGGAACAAAGGAAGAGACTGAGCGCTGCTTTGATCCACATCTGCTCCTGGTTCGACCTCGTCGCCGGCCTTCCGCCGAAGAGGCGGCATCATGTATCGATACCCGAAAGCGGAGCCGTTTCTGCAGCGTCCCGTGTGGCACGAGTGTACCTAGCTTGACCCTTCGCCCTCTCCCTGCCCCCGCCCCCCCGACCCTAGCCCCTCGTGCCCCCTCCTCCTCCTCCTCCTCCTCCTCCTCCTCCTCCTCCTCCTCCTCCCTTTCCTACTCCCTTTCCTCCTCCTCCTCCCTTTCCTCCGCCTCCTCCTCCTCCTCCTCCGCCTCCTCCTCCTCCTCCTTCGCCTCCTCCTACATCACCAGCTTCTTCTCCCCGGCGCCTCCTTCTTTCCTCCTCCCCCCCCTCATCCTGCTGCTGCTGCTCCCTGCCAGACCCGTTGCTCCTCCTCCTCCCCCCTCGCCTGAGGCGGTGACACTGGAGGCGAGGTGGGAGTTTGGACTCGATACGGAATACAGTCGGGGGCTTGACCTAAGGAACCCCAAATAAGGAACGAGGCCTCTTTTTTCCATGAGTTAAACTTCGATTTCCGATCGAAAACATAAGGAACAGCTGAGGCAAGCTGCGAAACGCTTAAGGAACGCGGAGCCCCTCCCCAACGAAAAGGGTTCCTTCTTCAGGGCCCCGACTGTACGCGCGAGGCACCAATCCCTTGCGATGCTCCTCACAGCCCCTGCTGCAGCTGCGGGGCCTTCGGCGCCCGCCGCCCAGCGCAGGAAGCTTCGCAGGTCCTCCAGATTTCTGCTTTAGCTTCTGGGGGGGGCCTGCTGAGGAAGGGCCCTGCAGGACGGAGCGGGAGGGGGAGGAGGCAGGAAAGAAGATGGAGGAGGCAAGAAAGAGGAGGGATGAACGAGGAGGGAGAGAGAAGGGAGGAATGAGGAGGCGTGAGGCATGCATGACGGAGGAGCGAGGAGGCAGGATGGATGATTGATGAGCAAGTAACTAAGGATGATGGGGGGATGGGGGAGTGAGTAGACAGGAGGGAGTGGCGATGATGCAGGAGGGTCGAAGGATGAGCGATGAGGATGAAGTTGCTTCTCCTCCTGCTTGTCCTACCCCTCTTCCTTCCTCCTCGCTCCTCTTTCCGCCTCCTTCCTCGAAGCTGCCCCCCTGGAGCTATCCTAGGGCGCGTTCACGCCCGAAATCTAAAGCCAACCCAGCCGTGACCGTCCCTCCCTCTTCCCCCCCTTCTTGAGGCGACCACTTCCCCAGGATTGACTCTTCATCGCGAGCCCCAGAATTTGGCGGCAAGCAGAAGGGGGTAAGGGGAGGGGGGAAGGCTTCTTAGAAGGAGGCTGCTTCTTAGAAGGCGCCGGCCTTACGTCTACAGAGAAGGCCCGCACCTTCTAAGAAGCAGGGGTGCTTCTAAGAAGCCTTCCCCCCCTACCCCTACCCCCCTCTGCGCGTCGCCAAAGAATGCTGTTCGGACGGTCCTAGGACCCAGAAGTGGTTCGGGCGTTGACAGAACTGGGTTTAGTGGGACCTGGTTGAGTGGTGTGCACTGGGGGACCCCTCCCGCCCCGCTCCACTCACCGGAACTGCCGCCACCCGAGAGAGCACCAGCTGCGGCAGACCAGGTGCAGTGATTCTGGCCAATGCAGCGGCTCGGGGGCCCTACCGCGGACCGGGCCCCCTTGCCTGGGGGTCCCCAGTCGACGAGGAGATATGAAGGGGCCCCAGGACACACACACACAAATACACACAAATAAAACGATTCCCCATATTTCTTCATATTTTCGGGGTTTTTGTCTTCCCCCCCACTTCCCATATTTTCCCATATTTTCTGGGGGATCGACGATTAATTGTGTCTGTGTTTTTTTCCCTCCTGGAGATAGCCAAACACTTTTTTGCAGCGGCGACGGGCGGGCGCCACCGCGTTCGGTCCGCCGGCGGGCCGCGCCGGGCAGAGGCACCCCAGACGGGTGGACACGAAGAGGGCGGCCGCGGAGGGGGGAGCGGCGGGGGGGGGGCTCAGGCGCAGAGAAGCTCCGCCGCGAGGAGTGCGCCGGCGGCCTCTGAGCACCGAGAGAGGGTGCACTGGAAGGGAGCACGGCGAAGCACCTGGGGCGCGACCTCTGCGTGTCGCCAGGGCTCGCTGGACGTCGCTCCGGAGACCCTGGGCCCCGGTGAGTAGCGTGAAGCTGCGGGCCCTGCCCTCCGACCAAGAGCCCCGACCTCTTACAGCTCCGCCGGACATCAGCATCCCCGCCCAACAGCTAGCGTGCAGTCATCGCGCTGCCATAAGGGGGCGCCGAATAAGGAACGAAGGGGGCTTGGCTTGCCACGGCCCCGGAGAGGCTCCCCGACTTCGATCTGCGGAGCAGCCCGAAAACCAGCCCCTCCCGAGCCCGAAGTGGTCCCCACTTCAGCGTCTTGGCTGTACGGTGCTTCTCATATTCACTCGCAGTTGTAAGGATGCAGTGCTTCGTCAAGGCAGCCCTTGACCCCCGTGTGTCCTAAGGCTTTGGGGCCGACGCCGCTGTGACCTTCAGCATGGACGTCTGAAGGGGTCACGTCTTCATCTTGCCTCATTACCGCTGATTTAGAATGCAATCGGTCCCCAGAAATGTCCCTGGAGGTGTTCCACGGAACTGCCGGAGGTCTCTGGATGTTCCCGCGAAGCTCCCCTGAAGCCTCTGGAGGCCTCCGGAAGCCTCCAGAGGGCCAAACGGGAGAACAATTCCCAAAGCATTGATCCTCGATGGCGGCCTTAATACCGTTTTGGAATGTTATACACGCGCGCGTGAAGTGAATACATGTTCGAGGTCAGCGGCTGCGGATGGGCGAAGGCGGAGATCCCGAGGGCTTCTGGCTCCTCTGGGGCCCCCGACTCTGGCCGAAACCGGCGCGTTCCCCCA